GGGCCTTCAAGTCGCGAAAAATTAAGCCAGCTCAACTAGAAACCGTGGAATTTGTCACTGATGCTTGACTCAAATATAACTCCTGCTCAGTAAACATATATCGTATTTTGACTGTTTAAGGAACAACTGACGATGATGTGTYCAAGTTGTGCGAGATCCTAACAAAAGAAGAAGGCTTCAAAGTTTGGAGAACAACGTTAGGAAGCCATGGATTACTAGTACACGAGTGCGTTAGTTCTCTTAGTTCACAAGAATAATCGAGCTATGAAGTGATTGGTAAAATTTATTGGTAAAATGCTCAAATGCACTTCAGTGTTCAAAGGGAAAACTTTGGGGTTTCTCTTTTGAGTGATGGTGTCRGTTGTTTTGAGGTTTGGGTGTGGGGGTGTTTTGAGTTTGAGGGCCTAGGTTTTGCCTCGGTTCTACTTGAGGTTATTGCCGATCTCAGTTCTCTGTGGCCGCTAGACCTCCACCACTTATAGGAGTATGGGTAAGACCACTGTAAATAGATTACTATTTTAAAAAAGGTTGAAGGGGCGAACAGCGATAAGCTATAAGTGATAGGAGATAGGTCATTTCAAGATCCAAGAATAGCTGGTGTGGTGTATTTGTGTTTTGTTATGCAATCGTCATATACAATTATAGGTGTCAATCAATGCAAATCTAACAGCTGGAATGGCTAGTGTTATTCCTATTGTAAAGAACACGTGTTATTGATGGTTTTCAATCATTCCCAAGAGAATTAAATTAYAAAAGACAYGGCGGTCATGTTGGAGGATATAACAAAAGAATTCCAACACTAAAAACGGATGCGAGGGAGACTAACTTTTAGTCGTCTGTTATATTTCCCAATCAATTGAGCCCCCCCTCTCCCTTCCTCCAATTGTCTGTATATGAAGCCCTCAATATCGAATGATTTCACAGGAAAACAATATCTCTAGATGGGCTCAACTGACAAACATTGTATTGTAAATAATCCTGAATATTCGTCCTTTAAATTGGTCAATTATTTCAACACCGATCTTTACTGCTAGACCCTCTCATGGAAATATATGGACATGACATCGTTATTTTGTGATTCACAAAACAAAATATATACCAGAAAAACTACAAACAAGGACCAAAAAACAATAGAAGGAAAGATGATTTCGAATATTTTGGCTGACTGATTAACAACAATGAGTTTAGGTGTTGAATGACCCCCAGCTTAGAATAATGATCTTCTAACGCGTATCATTGATTATCACTGTCTTCGTCAATAAAAACTTGTAGCCCCTAGTTGAGTATTTTTCATGTTATATATCGTCAAGACTTTTCGTGTTTCAGTGCCGAACCCTTAATTTCAATACTTCTGGTTTTTGTCGCTAATCGATCATAAAAATTCAAGCCAAGATCCCTTTGAAAATTTGATGGACGGAATCCAAAACAAGAAAAAAAAAAAACGTGTCCCCACAGAAACGTGTAAAAGACGCTGTAAGAAGATTCTTTTAACAGCAAGCATAATCAATTAATCAACCATTTTGAGTGATTTTGCTTTATTCAAATGGTGGAATTGTTTCTAAAAGAAAGCACTTTCGTCTTTCTGTGAGATTGTTAAAGATTTGCACACAGGCAGCCCAAAACAAATTCCTGTGAATGATTCATTAGGGAATGTAAGAGAGGATAAAGTTTTGAAATGAAACGTTTTACTGRAAAAGTCAGAGTTTCAGCGARGTTTGCGTTAGCTAATTTTTATTTTATTATTATCATTTTTTTCAAAATCCGCTAACTCCGRCATACATTCTCTAATGAACTGTACCTTGTTTGGGCTGCCTGTGGTTTACGTGACTAAATCTAACCTTTTGATTTTATAGTGAGTGTTGATAGAGTGTGGAAAGTAATATGTGGAGAAAGAACTTCCTTAATTATAGTGCTAAATAGATCAGTCTGACAGTCTCTTAACTGCTTTTGGCTCAGGCACGAGATATGGCACTGCTAGCCATAGTTTAATTCAGCCRTATCACGAGGAGTTTGTATTTCTCTCGACTGAGCATTAAACATGAATTTTGGGTTCTTTCCCTCCCTTGCTTTGATTCATTTTCATAGTACATTTTCAGGTGTAAATCCGGAGTCCCCAAATCACTTATCAGAATTTTATTGAACTTTTCAGTAGTGAAAAAAATACTGGAGCATAGATCGTCGATTAATTGTATTGCATGCTTCCGGATCAACGATATATGATATACGTCTGACTA